GGATGAGCTCTCTGGGATCTCATTGAGCAATTAAGGGGTGGAAGTAATACAGTTAAGGGGACATTTTAGCATTATTTTGTGATCTATTTTCTATGTTAGAATTATTGTATTTAAGAAGGTGGACTGACCTGATGAATTAAGTTAATTTTTGATGGTTTATACAGATATTTATTTTTTAATTAATCCATGGTGATGTGGTATTTTTATTCGACAGATGTGAGTTGTTTGAGCTGTTATTAAATATGTCTGTGATGTGTTAATTCAAGTAACTGTAAACGTTCTCTTAAACTGTATATATGTATTTTTTTTATTGTAAAAATAAGATTAAAATTTCAGGTCAATTCATTATTTTCTACACTTCAGTCTATACCTTCACTGTTGGTGTTTCTTTACCGAAAGATATCATTTTATAACATCTCTCTCAGCAGCACTGAAAGGGTTGTCGCCTGCTATCTCAGAGAGAGAGAGAGAGAGAGAGAGAGAGAGAGAGAGAGAGAGAGAGAGAGAGAGAGAGAGAGAGAGAGAGAGAGAGAGAGAGAGAGAGAGCGTTTCATGTTTTATATATAATTATGTACCGAGTTACCAGATCAATTATACATATTTACAATTATTAGCCAGAGGTTCATTCAGATATTAATGGGCCTTTTGTGTGTCTCTAATTTCGATCAATATCTGCATTTGCACAATGTAAATTTTGTTTTCTCGCTTATCAGATCAATTTTCTTCAGAATCTAGTATGTCTTTACAATGTCTACCGTCTTCTGTCCCTCATCGCAGTGAGATCTATGTCCATTAATCCCTCCTCGTCCTCACAGCTCAGACACCAGCTCCGGAACGAGGCTTCTTGCCTGTGCAGACGAGGAGTCACAATAACGTGGCAGAAATATGCTGACCAAACCACACACTAGAAAGTGATGGGACGACAACGTTTCGGTCCGTCCTGGACCATTCTCAAGTCGATTGTTAGAATCTACTTGAGACGTCGTCGTCCCTTCACTTTCTAGTGTGTGGTTTGGTCAACTTCTTGCCTGCGTTTCATTCTTTTCCAGCCTTTTGTTTTATGACTTTTTTCTCAGGCGAGGATTTCACGCTGAAGTGGTACACAGGTTGTATTACACGTTAAGGAAGGGGGACTAATTTGTTACAATTACTGATGGCTATCCGGACGATAGCAAGGTCCTCATTTGCTGCTACGTTATCCTGCTGATGTGTCTCTTTTACTAGCTTTCAGGAGGTTATGTTTATTCTCAGTGTATGCAGGCGATGAGTCACAATAACGTGGCTGAAGTATGTTGACCAGACCACACACTAGAAATTGAAGGGACGACGACGTTTCGGTCCGTCCTGGACCATTCTCAAGTCGACAATCGACTTGAGAATGGTCCAGGACGGACCGAAACGTCGTCGTCCCTTCAATTTCTAGTGTGTGGTCTCAGTGAATGTTCTTGCACGATGCACGAAGCTGTTCCCTTTCAATTCTATACTGCTTTTAGGATCTGTTTTTCTATACGGTTTGTCTCATAACTTTCCATTTGTCTGAGATAAAGTCGGGAGCCATTTGTCAGACCAAACCACCACCACCTATTTAGCAAGCATCACCCCCTCCCCCCACCAGCACCAACACCCTACCACCAGACAAACCACCACCATCTGTTAAATAAACCCCAACAACCACCCCCACCACAACGAGGGCCACAAACAACACTAGAGAAGAAGAAGCGGGGCACGGACACCTGGAGGAGTGTGGCGCCATAGCACCTCTACTGTGGCCTTCCATTTTGGTTCGAGTTTCTCAAGTCCCATAAATGGAAACCCGTGAACCGGTGTCCTCTCTGAGTGCATATACTGCAGGAGGCGTCAATCCCATAGCAGCGCTGTCGATCCTTCGCCAGAGTCCCGGGAACCGTTCTTGATGCACCCAGCTAGCGCCGCGATCCCTTAAGTGCGCTCCAGGCGTCGTTATCCTTGCCTCTGATCCTCTAAGTGAGCCAGTAACGTAATTAACTTGGTCTGGAGCGCTATAGATGCGGGAGAGGGTGGGATGTGGGGTGTGGGCGGGGGTGTGTGGTGTGGGTGGGGTGTTGGGGGTGGGCGGGGTGTGGGGTGTAGACGGGGTGCGAGGTGTGGGGTGTGGACGAGGTGTGGGGTGTGGGGTGTGGACGGGATGTGGGGTGTGGACGGGGTGTGGGCAGGGTGTGGGGCGGATTCGGATGGAGGTGTGTGGTGTGAGAGGGTGTGTTAAAAGTGGAAACATGACCACGACATTAAGGATACAAAATGCTGAACTCAATTGCTAGAGCAGGAATAAGGACAGGCGGTTTGACACAGGATCCACTGAGTCGAGAGGAAGTGGAATGATCTATAGAGTGAAGTGGTGGTAGCCGACACCATAATTATTGTGGTAGTAGTGGTGATGGATATTATACATGGAGTTAAATGCAATTATGAAACAACACCAAGAGTTCGGGGACTTGTACATAAAACAATTGAAAGGCGGTACTCAAGAGCCGAAGTTCAACCCCCGCAAGCACAAATGGGGGTGTACAAACCACAACCACTCACACACATATATGGAAAGAAACAAGCACACACAAACACACACACACACACACACACACACACACACACACAGGACACGAACAAGGGGACACAGGTGGAAACTTAGTACCCAGATGAGCCACAAAGACGTTAGAAAGAATTTTTTCAGTGTCAGAGTAGTTAATAAATGGAATGCACTAGGAAGTGATGTGGTGGAGGCTGACTCCATACACAGTTTCAAATGTAGGTATGATAGAGCCCAGTAGGCTCAGGAATCTGTACACCAGTTGATTGACAGTTGAGAGGCGGGACCAAAGAGCCAAAGCTCAACCCCCGCAAGCACAATTAGGTGAGTACACACACACACACACACACACACACAAACACACACACGGAAGAGGTCCGTGTGGGACCAAAGAGGGACCAAAGAGTCAAAGCTCAACCCCCGCAAGCACAAATAGGTGAGTACACACACACACACACACACACACACACACACACACACACACACACACACACACACACACACACACACACACACACACACAAACACAAAGGCGAAGAGCTCGAAAGGCAGGATCCAAGAGTTAATGCTCGATCCTGCAGGCACAAATAGGTGAGTTCAAACACACACACACACACACACGTCCCCGGCCGGACAAAAACGAGATAATAACTTGTCCTATTACTCCAGGCTTTTGTTTACCTAGCAGTAAATAGGTACCTGGGAGTTAGCTAGTGTGTGGTGCAGCAGCCTAAGTCTGTGTGTGCAAAACATAGTAGATCTGATAGAGAAAATAGGTCGGGAGTCAGTGCAACAGACGGTTGGAAAGGCGGAGTCCAGGAGCTCAGAGCTCGATCCTGCAGACACAAAAAAGGAGAATACATACTCACCATTAACTCTTCGGAGCTCGTTTAACGGAACACTTTACCGGAGACAAAGAATCCACATTAACAAGATAATTCGGATAAATGGGAATGTTTCTTGCCTACTAACTCCTCTCTTAACCGGAAAAAAATCCGGAAAAAATAACATAATTCGGATAAATGAAAATGGCTTACCTGAGTCTCCTCACTCCTTGTTTTGGAAAAAAAATGTATTAAACTAAAAACAAAAAAAATGGATTAATGAGGATAATCCGTATAATCAAAGTAATTCGGATTAATGAAAATACTGAATTGACTTTTGCTTTTAACTTGTATGTATAACTAGAAGAGAAAATATTTGTGTTCCCGGATAATTAGATGAGCGAAACTGCTTTACAGGCTTTTTCGGACCTATTCTTCGGACCTTTTCTTTGGACATCTTTTCCAGACATCTATTCCGGACCCCTTCTTTGAACCTCTTCACCGGACCTTTTCACCGAACCTCTCTTTGTCTTCGAGGAAACTTTGTGCTCCAATATTGAACGTCTGAAATGCATTAGTGAAAATGGTCTCATTCATCCGGATGCAATTCTAAGTGCATTGATCCGGATAACCAGATAATTCGGATTATTTGAAAAATGGTTCGATGAGGTGCTCGTGAGTAACGCTTTAAATATGATTTCGTCATGTCTTTTCGCGAAATAGGTATTCTGATGGTAATTGTAATTATGTCTGAGACATTGTGTTGTTATTACGTCTGAGACATTGTGTTGTTATTACGTCTGAGACATTGCGTTCAGTTGTCATCATGTCTCGAAATGCTACGCTCTGTTGGCGTTATGGCTTGATAGCCAAAACGTTATGGCTTATGGCATCTTTTCTGTGTATTTTGTCGAGGTCACATATTACGACCCTTGTGTTAATCTTCTCATTATCCTTCTCCCTTCTCTCGGCCTGAGACTATCTGACTACTTTCTGAAAAGTTCTTCTCTTCCCTCCCACTCATGACTCTCTGACTCCTTCCTGAGCCGTATTACTCTCATCACCAACACAACATTCTTCCCAGTGCACTAGCCTGCTGGTCTAGCTTGGGCATGAATCTCTTTTTAAGCGAGAGTGTTGAGAGCTTTCTCTCCACATTGATGATGTTTGGAGACGAAAAACCAGAGTTTCTTGTTGTGTGCTAGGTTACAGGGGATCAGTCTCTGTATTAATTTGCAGAGAACGCTTGCAAGTTGTGGTTAGTATTTCAGTGGGTCTGATCTTCATTCTTTCTCATATATATATTTTAACTACATTAGCCGTTTTCCAAGCATTTGGTAATTCTCATTTTATTGAAGAGTTGATTACTAAAGCAAGACGTCAATACGTGGCTGTTGGAGTATCTTTTAGTATCTAGTTTAGGTGTAGGAGAAGGGAGGGGAGGGAATATAAAGGGACTGGAGGGCAATGGGAAAATGAAGGTTAGATGGGTAAGAGATGGAAGGGAAGAAGAATGACTTGTTGGAGGAGAATAGGTGGAGCTATGGGGTGGTACAGGGCTAGGTGTTTCGGAATGGAGATGCCTGTGTTTTGGAAATGATGGCATGGGAATGATGGTTGGTGACGTGGTTGGAGATTTTGTGGCTGATATAGTTGGAGAATGTGAAGAAGATAGAGCATTGGTTTACTTTCCAGTGTCAGCACTGGGTATTGACTGCAACTATATATCTGTGTGTGTGTGTGTCTTCCAGAAGGCCTGCTTGCCTGCCTCCCTGCCTGCCTTCCTGCCTGCCTTCTTGCCTGCCTGCCTACGTGTATGCCTTCATGGTTGCCTATATGTCTGCCTTTCTGCTTCCTCTCTGCCTGCATCATTGCCTGCTTGTATGTCTACCTGCCTGCATGTCTGTATGCCTGCCTGTCAGCCTGTTAGCTTATCCACTTTGCCTACCCGATTGCCTGCCTGCTAACCTACTTGTCGTTCTGCCTGCTTACCTTCCTTTCTGTCAACCTGTCTGCCTCCGTCTATTTCCCCCATGTTATCTTCCTATCTGTTCGTCTAACTACCTGTCTGTGTGTCTATCTGGGCACTTGTCTTCGTATCTGCTTGCCTGTCCGCCACCCCCATCTACCCCGCTTACCCTCCTTTCTGTCTGCCTGTCTGCCTCCCTGCCAATCCGTCTGCGTCTGTCTGTCCGTCCGCCTGACTCGACCGTCCGGACTCAGCCTTCCTCTCAATATTACCATGAAATATATTGACCAATATTCATCACTTCCTCAGCATGATTTATTGAGGCGTCGGGGAGTGGCGCGGCTTGCCGGAGGGTGAAATATGAGGCTGGTTCCCTCTTTAATTGGTTTGCCGAGAGTAGGATGGCCGGCTTCAAGGGGGAAGGTTCGTTGCAGAGGGATGGCTGCTTCTGTGGGATGGTTTATTGCTACGCATGTTTGGGTGTAAAGGGTGGTTTGTTGCAAGGGGGTGTTTGTTGCAGAGGGTGTTTGATACATTGGAAAAGTTTAGATGCAGAAAAGACCTGGGTAAATACTGGTTGGGAAATTGAGGCTGTATAGCAGATTATCGAGGAACATAATATTGGTATGATTGTTAAAGGGTTTCAAGAGCGTAGGTTAGTCATATATATGAGTGAATATGGTTTGGTATAAATAGGAGCTGCCTCACATGGACCAATATGAGCTGCCTCACATGGACCAATATGAGCTGCCTCACATGGACCAATATGAGCTGCCTCACATGGACCAATATGAGCTGCCTCACACGGACCAATAGGAGCGGCCTCACATGGACCAATAGGAGCTGCCTCGCATGGACCAATAGGAGCTGCCTCAAATGCACCAGTAGATCTATACTGGTACAGTTATATATTGGCTTTATCCTCAGTTTTTTATAATTAATAAATATCTGTCTCAAATTCAAGGCATAAAGGCGCCTCTACCGTCATGTTCTGGGACACCCGTCTCTCTGTCTACCGTCCATCTTAAACACCTTTATATACCCCCTTCCCTACTCCCCCCAATTATTCTCCTCGCCCCTATTCTCTCCCCCCTTCCCTCCCGAGGTCCTCTTCCTTAACTCCCTTCTCCCTCTGTAGCCCTTCTCCCCAAGTGCACTCCCCACGTTCCCTCCCCAAGTTCCCTCCCCAAGTTCCCTCCCCAACTCCCCTGTCCACCTCCCCAACTCCCGTCCCTCGACTCCCCATATATGTTCAATTGCTTCAAAGCTTCACAAAGAACTACAAGTACAGAGAACTACAGATTGCAAATATCGACATTTATCTACGGCGGCTTTGGACTTAATTCCCACAAAGGACATATGATATGTTTTACTATTAATAATAGAAACTTGTTTGGTAGAGCTAAGCTGAGTGATTATGCTCTATGATAGTTGGAAATGTGTGCGTGTATGTGTGTGTGTGTGTGTGTGTATGTGTGTGTGTGTGTCCTACACAGGGCCGGCTTTAGGCTCTTTAAGGCCCAATTGGGGGGTCCAATTTAGTAGATCCCCCCAACCCACCCCCACCCAGTTTACACAGCCCAGGACTGATTTAGTGGCAAGATTGACTAAAGTGTAAATCTAATTTCTTATTTACAACACAAACAAAAAAACTTTTACTGTTGTTACATAAAACTTATCTTTCTTACGGCATTCATGACCGAACTGATCAAAAACGCATATCCTGCACTGAATGTCTGACTCATATCTGTGTTTAGTCATACAGAATTCAGTAGCATAAACATTAGCCTGCAAGTTTGTGGAGGTTTATGATAAGACTTTGCTGATTGGGCTCTGTTAAGAGGCAGTTTTAATGGCAAGACTTGAGTCGACCGCCCTAGTGCGAGGGCCCCTTGGGTACGGGGCCCGATTGGGAGCAGTTGGTCCAATTGGGTTAAAGCCGCCCCCTGCGTGTGTGTGTTTGTGTGTGTGTTTTTGGTGTGTGAGCGGGTGGGTGGAGCTGGAGTGTATTTGATGTAAGTGAGGGTGCAGTTGGTGTGTGGCGTATGCGTATGTGTGTGGGAAGGGGGGTTGTATTTGGTGTGTGTGTGTGTGTGTGTGTGTGTGTGTGTGTGTGTGTGTGTGTGCGTGCGTGCGTGCGTGCGTGCGTGCGTGCGTGCGTGCGTGCGTGCATGTGTGTGGTAATTCACATACCATCAACATCTTTATTAAAACAACATAGGTGTAACGATAATTTTCAGGGATTATAACGAGACAACCAATCATGACAGGTAAAATATGTTATATTGCGGCACTCACCATCACCTTCATCACCATCTAAACCACCATCATCCTTTCCACCAGCATCATCAATACTCATCTTATGACACCGTTTCGTAACAGCCTCCCAACATCACCTCCATCTCCACACAAGCGTCTATCTACGCATCCTAGAACACACCGCACATGCGTACATAAGGGTGGTGATCTGTGCATATAGTGACGGTCGAAATTATACGCTGTTCTGAACAAATTTTTTTCCTAACGGATCATTTGGATTAAGGTTAGTTTGGCTAGTTAATTAAATTATGTTTAGTTAAGAAAGTTTTCGGGCTGGGGTAGGTTAGGTTAGATTTAGTGAGGTTGGGTTTGGTTACCATAGATTAGGTTAGATTAAGTTAGGATTGTATAGGTTAGGTTAGATTAGGTTAGGTTAGGATAGTCATAGATTAAGTTCGGTGAGATTAATTTACATTTGGAATGGTTAGATTAGATATTCAAATATCTAATGGTTTGGTTAGATATTCAAATGCTTAAGTTGTTAAAAAGTTATTAAAAACTTGGCAAAATGTGACCGTAGAGTTTCGAATCGCTCAGCATAATAATTTTCTTAGTTAATGTCTTCGTATCTATTTCTCTTTCATCCTCTGCTCTCTCTCTCTCTCTCTCTCTCTCTCTCTCTCTCTCTATTTACTCAGTCTCATTCTTTAATTCCACCTCCCAGCCACAAAGTCACCGTCAGGTAGCGATAATTATATATATATATATTATATATATATATATATATATATATATATATATATATATATCTAGTTGCACAGATGTAGCAGACATCGTTAATTGGTGCCATAAACGAGGGGTCTGTGTTGAACCAGCAGCCTGGGGCAGCTGTAAACAGTTAAGCCCAAGTCATCGTTGCCCCCTTACGATCAATGTGGCCGGATAGCACAGAGCTAGCCAGCCAATCCCGACCCCCCTAACTCGTCCAATATAACAGCTTCCAACTGTTTGTTCTCCCAACCAATATCTACCCAGGTCATTTTTATTAAATTATTTAAGGTTCCATTAGCAACGTGCTGTTGTGATATCTTGTTAAGAGATATCTTGTTCGATAACTCTTAACGGCTTATGGCTCTTGTTGTTGCATATCCAGTGTCGTTTGCAATTAATAATCTTCTCTCGTTGCGTCGTTAAATTCTGCCGACAAGGTCTCTCGCTGGTGTAAGACTAGCAGAATTGCTTTTTTGACGGTCGTCATTACCGTGGATGAGGCTGTTCCGAGCGTCGGGACTGGGTTCATGAGTGTCGGTCCAGGGCCCACGAGCGTCGGGACTGGGTTCACGACCGTCGGTCCAGGGCCCACGAGCGTCGGTCCAGGGCCCACGAGCGTCGGGACTGGGTTGATGAGCGTCGGTCCAGGGCACACGAGCGGCGGTCCAGGGCACACGAGTGTCGGTCCAGGGCACGCGAGTGTCGGTCCAGGGCACACGAGCGGCGGTCCAGGGCACACGAGTGTCGGTCCAGGGCACACGAGTGTCGGTCCAGGGCAGACGAGCGTCGGTCCAAAGTTTGCGACCAGTTATGAACCCAGCATCCAGTGCCGCGTCTGTGACACCTCCCTCCTCGCCTCTCCAGCTCTGGCCTCTCCAGGTCTGGCCTCTCCAGGTCTGGTCTCTCCCACAACCAGAGATACTGCAGTTTCCAGACATTAAACGTCTGGAACCTCTATATATGATTCCACAGTCCCAGCTGGTGGCCTAAGGTTGGCAATTATTAGAAGAAGGCACTAAATAATGTTGACAATATAGCGTTTGGAAGGGCTTTGAGGACAAGGAGCTTGTGTACTGGGACTTGGAGCTGGAATAAGAGAAGAAGGAACTGAGATGTGATGACAAGGAGTTGGAATATGAGGACAAAGAGCTGGAATGTGATAATAAGGAGCTGGAATGTGATAATAAGGAGCTGGAATGTGATAATAAGGAGCTGGAATGTGATAATAAGGAGCTGGAATTAGATAAAAAGGAGCTGGGATATGAGCCCAAGAAGTTAGGATATGAAAAGCAGGAGCTGAGAGATGAGGACAGAGGGAAACAGTTGCAAAGTGATATTTCTAATCTTTGATTAACTCTAATTTACATATCAATACATGTAGTTCTCCCTCTGTGTTGGTCTGTACAGTGATGTGATTTGATCAAACTTCTGGGCATTATTAACGCTTAGCTTAAAGCGACACGAGCCTCTACCATGTCAACATTAACAGCTGGATGAGCGCCAATTAGTGAACTTTAAATCCTGCATTGATCTTTCAAATAATGTGTGAGTGCGTCATTACCTAATGGGTCTTACCTTACTACTGTCACATGGGCAAGCTTCAGCTCTTGGGCCTCGTCTAACTCTAAATCATCTCATGTAATGACTCGCCTCATTATTATTCGTCCAACTTGCTTTATTAAATTTGTAATTTACGATTCACCTTATGTTTTTCCATAGTGAATGGAGCGGATTGCCTGTTAGGTTCATCGAGGTCCCCGCCCGCCAAACACACACCGAAACTACGACGTTTGTACAACGTTCGAACAAGTTTTAACACCTCCTAACCAGTTATAACAACCAATATAGCAAGTTATAACAACGTTCTAATACGTCATAAACACGTTAAGCCAAGATGTAACAACTTTATTACAAGTTGTAACAAGCGGAAAATAGAGACAGTTTCGGTTTGTGTTTGCAGGGCGGAAGCTAACTACTGACCTATGCCAGCTATCGTACCGAGTGAAAGGAAACATTACCTAAACGCTTCTGTCGTGCCGCCGGAATCGAACCAAGGATCTTTTTGTTGTGCTCCGACAGAGTTTACCACTGCGCCGCAGGACCTTTACTATTTCACCTTCTAATTAATTCACTAACTACTTTTAGCCTAAATAATTTTTCGTGACATTCTTGTGTTCCATTTTTGTAGACAGTTTACACGATCTCTCGTTCCGTTGCTGATCAGTTTAATTGTTAATTGTATTCGTGGACTAAAAGCAGAGGCGGAGAGCCTGCGTCCTAATACCGCATGCGGTGTTTTGTGGTATCCAGTGCGGCCTTCGACAACAATTTAACTTAACAAAACACTTGATCTATAACTTTATTTCTGACATGATACATTGTGAGGCCTTGTGACATATTCGTTAAGTAAAATATGGCCTGAGTGTGACAAAAGGTTCCACACCCTTATTCTAAAGAATTGTGTATGTATGGACCATGTCCCCTGCTCTAGTTGTCTTTTCTTATAATTGACATAGACCTCTAATGAACTTGATATGCACGATCAACCTCCACTGATGTGTGTGTGTGTGTGTGTGTGTGTGTGTGTGTGTGTGTGTGTGTGTGTGTGTGTGTGTGTGTGTGTGTGTGTGTGTGTGTGTGTGTATTCACGCGCGTGCGCGCCTGTGTGTTCGCACGCGTATCCGAGCTTCGAAAAGAACAAAACAATCTCCTTCCAACGAAGTAAAATACTTAGCTAGAAAGTCTGGAATCGCAATCCGCTCCACTGCCCCGCTCTCTCCCCTCCGAACTGTCTAAACTGAAACTTCGATTATTTAAACCGGCGTCCGCACCGGCGCTGCCTCGTATCCGGACTCCATGTTGACGCTCCGAGTTCCGTATTCCGAACCGACGACTGAGACTTCGATTTATACAGCGAGCGTCTGGATAAAAAAACGATGCTCTGTTGTTTTAGGGAGAGGGAGAGTTATTGCTGCCTCGAGAATGATGGGATGGGAGGCAGACGGAGGGGAAGGAACGGGGAAGAGAATGGAGAAGTGGGAGAGGAGGACATAGAGGATGAGCGATAAAAGGAGGGGGGGGAGGGAAAAGGGAAGTTAAAGATAAAGGTAAATGAGAGGAGAAGAGGGAAGGGGAGAAGTGGGAAAGGAAAGAGGAGGAAGGCGATGATAGGATGGGACAAGAGAATGATTAGGATGGGGGTGACAGAACAGAGGAGAGGACAGGGGCAGGAGAGGGAATAAGTAGAGGCTAGAAATGGGAATGGAGAAAGTGGAATAATAGAGAATAAACGTGAATGGGGGGGGGGAGACAGGGAGAGGGAGGGATTGGGAGGAGAAGATGGGTAGAGGGAGATGAAATGAAGGGATGGGAGTAGGAGGAGATGGGTAGAAGGGAGAACATGAAGGGTGGGGATATGTAGTACGAAGAGAGAGGTGTTAATGGGTAGGAGGAGGAGAAGGAGGAGAAGGAAGAGAAGGTGATGATGGCGTAGGAGGAAGCGGAAAGGATGGTCATCCTGAATCAAACGCAGTGAGGCGTAAGAATAACGACGCTTATTGTTTAGTCTTTATTTATTACTCTCCCTCCATGGTTATTGGTCAATATATTTTTTGATCATACCACTTTCTCTCTTCTCTCGTTCCTCCCAACCCTCTCCCTCTCTCTCTCTCTTAACCTTTCTATATATCTCTCTTTCTCTCTCTCTCTCTCTTACCCTTTCTATATCTCTCTCTTTCTCTCTCTCTCCTCCGCACACTGCCCCCACCGGGGCCTAACGGACTGGTCTCTGTGAGAAACTATCATGGCTTTAGGCTCTCGGCGCCTTTTTCAAGAATGCCCACTCACAGTGCAATGCTGTTGGCCCACTTGAGGTTATTTCTAGGGAATTTCTTTTTCTATAAAGGCGTTTCTAGCACGGTTATTAACTGTCTAGGAAGACATATGGCTCTGTAAAAGACATTTTGAAGCACTGAGGGTCAGGTTTGAGCTCTCTAAGCTCCTCTCGAACTAATCTTAGCACTCTAATAAGGATTTTTTGTATTCAATCATTGTTTCTGAGTGGTTTTCAGCAGCAAAGTGTACAAAGGGGTAGTATGATAGCGTTACTGGAACGGAGTATGATAGTATGACATGGTATCTGGAACGGTGTATGTAGAATGACAAGGTCCTC